CTATATATCCCTCCCTGCCTTCTGTAACTCTTTCATCATTTGTGCTGACTGCCTTTGGGATTCTTTATCCATATCTATAGATAAACAGTCACCAACAATTTAAACAACTCTTATTCCTCTACTTACTTCATATTCAAACTTCCTCATGATCGTAAGCCCTATTTATTTCTTTAATAACAGTTACTAATAACAGATAATTGACTTATAATATTTGGTGAATATCTCAACAGTCTAATTTCTTACTTTACTAACTATCACAGTTTTATTAATAAAACAAGAAAAGCATTACAATCTAAGATTAAAATTGCATAATATCGATAATAGTTTCATCTTAATAGAAATGCCCTTATAAAAAAAATGATAAAACAAAATAATTTTAATTATACATCACATAATACACAAAATATATTTTAAAAAAAAAGAAGAGTATTACAACATTACAAATATACTTTAAGTTAAGAGAGATATTGCTCTAATAAAATAATCTTTTAAGGTAATAATTTTTGAAATTTTTTTAACAGCTGAAAAACTCATGAAAAAAAAGTTGATGACATAAATTTATTCTATGATTCAATTTATACATATTGCTCATAATATATGTAAGCATAATAACAGTTTTCACTTACTTTTTAAACATTAACAATAACAATAATACCTTTGCAATAATCTTATAGTGGATACTTTTGACTTTCCACTACAAAATTTTCGATTCACATTGAGAATTTTCTTGGAAAAAAAAACAAATTCCAAGATACAGTGGGCTAAACAAACACTGAAATCTGGACTAGATTGAATGATAAAAAAAAGTCGAGCTGAGACTGGATGATGGAATGTTAATATTTATATTGAATGTAAATTTTATTTAAGCACCTCCATATTTCCAAATCTATAATTACAGTATTATCTGGTCATTTAACTATTTTATTTAATAGTTACATCTTCTATGCTTTTTTATTTATAATCAGTGATTATACTTGATCATTTAAAATAAGTTGCAATAAATGCTGTTCAAAAGCATGAATCCTTCTAGGATTAGTATATAGGATTTTATCATGACAGAGTACTCATTGTAATAATAACAGATTTGGCAAAAGAATGTAAATCAACTGATAAGTAATTTATTTTGTTTAAAAAATTACAATAATTTTATTAAGAAAGAAAATTAAAATAATAAGATAACCAACTATATCCAAAATTCAATTTATCAGAATATGGAAAAGATATTATTTTATAATTTAAAATGCATAATTGTGATTACTGAGGGAAACAAATTGATTTTGATTAGATAGAATTGGACCAGAGACTGAAATCTATTGCTAGTTCTGAATTTGAGATAAAACCCAATAACTACAATTTGTTCTTCAACATCACACTATTATATTATACAATATATGATGTGGAAATGACCTTCAACTGTTTATAAGAAAAATATATATATTTTTTTAAATTTTATAATTATTCATTTTTACAGTTCAATTCCTTTGACCAGTACTGCAACTGAATCGAAAAACTAAAAATAAAATCATCCTAACAATTTAAAAAAATTATAACAACATTGAGCTGATCAATAAAGAGAGGGTGTAGAGAGCAGCCAGGAAAGATAAAGACAGTAAGCTAATATACAGCTTTAATGTGTGCCAAAGTTTAGGTATAATTTGAAAGCCTTCAAGAGTACACTTGACGAAAAGAAGAGAACAAAAACATTCATCATTCAGCAGTATATTGCCTTACACTGTATTTCTTTCCTCATTGTGTCCCCAACAAGCCACATCCTCCTTGATTTCATCCATGGTCAATGATATTTCAATTATATTTTACTATAGTTCTAAAATTAGCTGATCTTATTTCTGTATATAATTTTTTTTTATTTTAGCAGCAAAGTTTATTTCAGATCTCTATAAACATATTGAAAATCAATACTCTTCTTTACAATTAATGTATTTTAATTTAATGAGCCTATAATTAAAGGCAGGAGTAGGTAAACATTTTACCTAAACAAGATTAATTCTTCAACATTATTGATCAAAACCACTTAATATTTTACTAACAGTACTTTTTTTTTTTGTTCATTGATATCCAGTTGTGTTAAAGTAAATATCCTGTGATGTTTTAAATCAACACACCTTCAATTATTTATAAACTCAAATAAAAAGTAATCATAAAATGACACAAAAGCTAATAAAATAAAACAGTTGAAACAAAAAGAGCATGATTCCATCCGAATTATTCTTTCTATCTCATAAAACTTAACATAATCACATATTACTACAAAATTATTAAATTGTCAACAAACATTGTAGCATCGAAGGATTCAAATTTAATATAAATTTTTCATATTCGTGCATCGTGTAAATCTCTTAGTTATAGGACTTGATATAGTGATACTGGCACTAATACAACTATCTTTTAACTAACATAGGTTAGTCAAAACAAATTAAAACTAATATTAATCCTATAGATCATTGTTCTTCATTAATCAGCAATATTTAAAGCCAACAAAAAATAAATAATTTAATTTTTTTAAAGAATCTCACAGATCTTAAGTACATAAAAGTTACAAAATATTTTATAATACAATATGGCATCACACCTAATACACAAAACACAACAACAATATAATCTAGTCTATCACAAAATGCTAAAAAATTACAATTTTTTATCAAAAATAAATTTTTCACTAACAATATTTCATCACAGTCCAAAAATTCGTGCAAAAGTATTTAATGACTCATAAATGCTCAAAGTTTATCATATGTTTTAATAATAATGTACAAAACATACAGTCAATGTGGATTACACGTAATTGTATTCATTTGAAAACTATTATTAAAATAATTATTTTCATGTTACTAAAAATACAAGTTTCTAGCATAAGAAATACCTGTTGATATCATCTTCAATATGATTTTATAAGAAAATTATGGTATCATATAACTTAACTTTAATTAGGAACTATTTCTATAAATATCATAAAAACCAACCAATTATGGGAAGAAAAACCATGAAAAATCCTTAGTTTCTATCATGTTATCAAGTCTAATATTGGAGTGACAAGACTGAGCCACATAAGCCAGCAGCCTATATAAAATTACCCCCACACTCATAGGCATTAATTATGAAGGAAATGGAAAAAGGGAAATAAAAAGAGAGAAGCTTAAGCGTTTATGATCAAATTTATATAGGTTAGCAGGGTCTATTTTTTAATGAAAACAAAAACTTGAAGTTGTCATCTTGAGTGTTAGTTGTTGGCGAGGGTAAAAGTTACAGTGCTTGTAAGCTTGCTTTTTTATCTGCTACCATAAGTTGAAAATTAACTAGATCTCTTTTCTTTTTTGTATCCAGTGTGAAAGTTATGTATTTCTGTTTGGGTGTAGAAATGGCAGAGAAGATAAATTTTCAGCTCAAAAATCCACCATTTGTGTGTAATGGGCCTTCCATAAGAAATTCTTGAGACATTTCTATGCCTAATATAATAATAGTGAAGAAATATAATAACTGCATTAGTCATTGAAACATCTGTTAACAAGTGTTATAGCTAGATCAGATGAAATTTACAACAGTAACACTGTATACCCACTAAAAAATGTAAACTTTTGCAGGCGTAATGTGTTAAGAGTCTGTGAAGCTGTCATGCATTATATTATGTGTAAATCTTTCCATCTTCCCTGTTTTTTTTTATTTTTCACATATGAATGATTGTGTGATCTGCTATTTAAGTGTTTGTTCTTCTTTTTCACCAACTTTTAATTAAATAAATAACTTATAACAATTATAAATTATTTGAATTTCTGATAAGCTAAATTAATCAAACAAAATTATGTTACATATTCAATTGTAGTTGTGAAAAAATTAACACACTATTTTGATCATTTAAACTTCTATATTTGAGTCTCATGATATTAATATGATGATATGAAGTACTTCTGAATTTTTCAAACAAATGTTTACAATTTCTTTTAATTAAGAAGAAAGAAATTCAAAAAAAGGAGTTTGCCATTAAAAGTGGATATATTCACTTAGAACAAAACAGAGATTTTTATTTGATTTGGTAGTTTTCCAAACTGTACTTAAAACTAGCTTCACTTCTTTAATAAATATTTTTTTCTTATAAAATAATGATTGGGAAGATTGCTTTTTCAAGCAAACTGAACACATGTGCAAATGATAAAATAAAATCAGTTTTTATCACCAATTTCTATTGGCAATTCATAATGCCAATTTTGAATACAAACTCCTAATTTGTAAATCTGAAATCAGTTATTCTATCAATCTGACAGGTATCTACATTTTTCTTTTACTATTTCAAACAGGGAAGGAAATAAAATGGTAATGCATTAAAATTTAAATCATAATAGTTCATATTTTGTCATTATCTTTTAAAATTCAATTATCTCACTGAAAATTCCCTAAATCTAGCAAAATAGTACATAAAACATACTACTTATATGCTTTAAAAATTAAATAATTAAAAAAACTAAGAACAAATAATAAGAGACATATTTTGTCGACTAGTCATTAATATGATTTTTAGATCATATACCTAATAAATAAAGGATTAACCAGGCTTTTAAATTTAAATGGTGAGAAAAAAATCATAAGTGTCCTAAAAACCACAGGAAAGCATTAAAAAACTTAGCAGTAAAAATATGTCACTTTAAAACTCTGATGGTCCTAAATCAACAGATACCAACAGGTAATTCTTTAGCTCTGTCAATGATATAAAAATAAATTGTGCTCTTCATGCTGATATATCTTCACCACGATCCAACTTCTGAACAAGACAAACACAATGAAAAATGGTTCAAATTTATTCATGACACATTATACAAAATAACAAAACAATAAATCAATAAAATATAAATAAAAATGGTAAAAAAATCAGGAAAATGGGAAACAAAACCAAATATTAGGTTAGGATAAGGGTTTACAAAAACAGTTTGATAGAGCTTTCTCAGTTATGAAATGATGCATTCTTGAACTTCATAAAATCCATCACCTACCTTTCTTGCTGCTAGTTTGCCACCATGTTTTTTCTTATCATTCGTTTCATCCTTCTCGATCATTTCCTCCATTATAACTCTCTTTCGAAGGACTTCCCTGACCGTGGTTATGCTGTGGTAAACTGAATTTATCAGCCTTGTATTTGGATGCATTCCTACTAGATCTAAAAGTGCAGATAATACTGATTTTCCAGCCTGGAATGAAAATTACAGAAATTGTAATGATAATTAGCAATGATGATAAATCCATCTAATAAACTATTCTATTCCAAAAAATCTAATATTCAAACTTCTCTTTAAATATAAAGAAATATAATAAGTATATGTGGAAATCATATCTTGATAGAATATAATAAGTGAAATGATATAAGGTGAAATCTTATCGTATGCAGAATGTAGTTATGGTTAGGAATCAGTAATTCCAAAAATTCGACAAAAGCTTAAGAAAGAAAATACTGTTTGTACCGATATTTTTTATTTAAAAACATTAAAAAAACCTTTAATAAGAAATTTATTCATGCTGGAAGTATGAATAATTTTGCATCCTTAGAATATTTAAAAGAGAATAGCAAATTGCTATGGGTATATAACTAGGGTACATGATATAATTATATGGAGTAGTCGCAAGTGCGAATAATATGCAAAGTATATCAGTAAGTGAACAAATAACAAAATAATAAGGAAATAAAATAATGCAACTTATAATAAGATAGAAGAATCAATTCATAATTTCTCAGTAATTATAATCAAACAAGGAAAAGAAAAATAACTGTTATACTTTAGACAAACTTGTTTATAAATTAAAATAAGCTGTAGGTTTACAAATAATAATAATCCAATTTCGATGATTTTTTTGCTTTGTAGGGAATTTAATAACCTTTCAAATAATCAACAATAAAATGTATACTTTTTGAACTATTCACAAATAAAGTTTCTTTTCCTTTATAACTTCCTTGCCTGAGGTTTCAGGGTGATGTGATCTTTTTCCCACATGAAGGAGAAGAAAACCTTCAAAATGATGGATCAATAATAGATTTTATGAAGAATTAATGAAGATATGGCATACCAACAAAATAACCCGTCCAAGAAATAATATAAACTCCTCCTCTCGTTGATAACAACCTAGTCAAGAAGTATATCCCATGGCAGCACGACAATGAACGTGAGCCTTTGTAGCTGCAAACCCTTTAACTTGCATTATCTCTTAAAAATGGTACATTTTCTGTGCTATAACAAGTATGGTAGTTAGAAGTCTGCCTCAAAATCTCCAAATCCCAATTACCCCAACTGAATCTACTGAATTACCACTGTCCCAGTATTGAAGCCTAGCAATAATGGAGATTATGATTCGCTAATCCACTGTGAAATTCTGAATCCAACGGAATCTCATTCATGACATTTGAGCATGACAGAAGCTTAAATTTGGTACAAAATCTATTTTGAGCTTAGTGAAATAATATATGTGGGGATAATAGGAATGAAGGATAATATTTGTAATAGGTCATTAATTCAAGTCTTGGGAAAATTAATAAATCCTGGTTTAAGATTTTTTTCTAGTCAAATAGAAAATCAGGAATTCGGTTTAAAAAAGAAGCTCTAAAAAATTCCAGAAAAAGCAATATTTTTTGAGGAAGGAAAAAACATAAACATTTCTAAAAAAAAAAATAATCACAAGATAAGAAAAATATAATTAGAAACATATGTTGAGTCTTTGACAGATTGTTTAAATATTTCAATCAAATTATCAATGACCGGAATTAAACAGGAAAATAACGACATACTGATCAATCTGGCAAAAATACTAAATAAATCAAAAGAACATTTAAACATGAGGAGATAATAATCAATTCTCTACTTTACAATACTAGAAAGCTAAACAATTAATCGAAGAAACGAGGATGCAGAGAGTCAAATAGCCATTACAAAATAATTATATAAAGCAGTAGGAATCCACGATATTCCCAGTTCATTATTTATCAAGAAGCGGATGGATGAAATACAGAAAAGTTTAATAGTGACAGTTTAAAATATAAGATTTTTCAGAATTAGAATATGAATCGAAGAATAACAATTGAAACTGAAAATTAAATAAAGCCAACTAAAATGATCGTAAAAGAAAGATGTATGACAAAGCCTGAGGAAAACATAAGAAACCTCATCAAGCGATTAATTAATTTATTGATAAAGCTTAATGCAGTTATTTATTCACTAAGCATCTTTGGTCAAAGAGAACAAAATTGAGGGGGGACACATAATTATTTACTGTCACCATTAAACATTGAAATTTATTAACGTATTGACCCAAAAATAACTGAACAAGGATTATTTAATGGTGGTATAATAATAAAATCAATACCTCTTCATATATGATAGGGGTGTACTTAGGAGGGACGATGAGGTTGGGATGAGATCTTCTCTCTAATGAATCCCGATATGGTGGAGGCAGCATGTTGAGATTCTTTCCAGTGTTGTAATTACACTCAAGTGTGTAACAACGAACCAATCCAGTAGCTTTATAAATAGCTACTCGACCACAGCCTTCTCGAGAGCTACCATCCCTCCTATCCCTAAAAAAAATGAAAACAAAAATGTGTATATATATTCATATATAAATAAAACAATTGATTTTTGTTAAGGAGCATTGAATTATTATTATTTTTTTTAATATTCTGTATGCCTATCCTAAAAAATTTCTGTTTAAATTTTTCTATCAAACAAAACACAGTTCAAAAATTATAAAATCTAAAGTCACCAAAAATTATGCTTGAAATACATACATAAGGAGTAGATTGTAAGAAAAAAAACCAGTTTTACAAAACAATGAAAACAAAGGGAAGCCCTTGCATAAATAGAAATTGTGGTATCCACAGATTAAGAGTATAAAGTAAAATTTTAGATACTTTTCTGTTCTTGTTCCTCCAGTCAAAAAGTTTTTTTAAAAAATCAAATTATGGTAAAATTGGAATTAAAAACCAGGTGCAAAAAATCATTTATTAACAAGAAGACAATCATAGGCAAAATAACGAATATCTTTTATAATTGAGGTAAATGGATCCGTTTTTGGCGCCACATAAATTCTGCTAAATACGAATCTGGCAAAGTTCTGAGGGTTCCACAAATTTTCATATTTTTCCATTTAGAAGAGCTCCAAAATCTTTCTTTTCGATTATTGGTTTCAGGATCCACAAAAATATATTTGTGGTGTACACAAACATGTTGGTATCCTTCATCTACTATTCTTATACTCAATAATGCCGTGATCCTAATAAAATTTCACAGCAGATCATCGAACACTCCTTTAAACATTTTTTTCAAATTCATATTCATCTTCATTCATTGTTTGAAATAATGCAGAATTATATAAATCTTTTTTACATGGAGTTATATGTTTTTTATGGCACATATTTAAATTATGATTAAAAAAAAAACTTCATTTTTTTACTGGTTTGGCAATAACAGAAAGTACCAAATTTTCATTTAAAAGCATACCTTTGTTTTCTTCTTGTTAACACTGCTCCAAAAAGAAAATTATTACTTGTGAAAGATTAAAAAAAAATGAATAAAGCCAGATAAAAAATAAAATTGTGATAAGATAATATAACAAGCCAACATCGAAAATTCACAAAAACTGTAAATGTTTAGTTAGATCAGAAACAATTAAATCCTAAAAGTTTGATAAAATGACATTAAAATGTAATTATAAAAAACTGCCTTAGTTACTTATTTTATCACAAAAAATAATTTTAATAGTTTTATTATGATGATGAAAAACTGTAATCTTTATATATCTCAAATTTTTCCCAAGGGACCTCCATATCAACTGTACTTGTTTCTGGTTACAAATATTTCAGTATGGTAATACTGACTAATATAATAATATATTTAATAGTGTAATATTGGAGTTATATACAATAAATGATTGTTATAATGATTCAAATGTAAATATTTGATAAACTTACCGAATATACATGTTTTTTTCAGTAAAATTACAAGAATCAAAAAGAAAATGCTGGGAATACAGTGTTATTAATTTAGGAAACAACATACATTCCACTTTCATATTCAAATTATCAAAATGATTTCCATACATGAAAATACCTAAAAAAAAAAATAAGAAAATTAATGCAATATGTAACAACTATAGTAAACTTTAAAGAATACTAAGAACAACAAAAATATATTAAAAACCATAATGCCATATGGTCAAAAAATGCTGTAATCATTAATATTAAGGAGCAATATTTGTAAGATAAGTTTTTAATAATTCTGCTTAACCCAGTTCTAAAATACCTCAATAATTAAGAAATTGAAATACTGTGTACTTTGGACTCAATAACCTAATTTAAATCCATAGTGGTCATAAACACAAGCAATGAAATAATGAAGATAACATTGACATATAAATACTTCATGAAATCCTTATTTTGTATATATTAATATTCCTTGACCTATCCTAGCATAAAACTTGAGTTCACTTCTTTCCATAAAAGCTTAAATTCAGAGATTCAATGAGGGGGAGATGCACCACTAATGTAGTATACCAGAAAGATTAGAAAATGATACAGTCATTTTACACAATAGTTCTTATGAGGATAAAAAAAAAATTAGAATTATTTACATACGATCAAACATTTGAGACTGTTTTTTTTTTTTTTTTTATAAACATGTATATATAAAATATCCTGAATTTACCTTTTTTTGATGTATGGCCGTGCATATCTATATACGTAAATAATCCTGAATCATCATTTGTATTACCAACTCTACCTAATCCAATTGGTGTAATCACACGTGAAGATGTCAATTCTTTATCAGGTTCAAGTGATACAACCATCTGGTAGGGCAAAAAACAATGAAAACAACAACATGAATTTGGAAAATATAAAAAATACTAATTATGTAAACAAATATTAAAATAAAACTAAGTTCAAAACATGATTTTGTCATTTAAAGGATCAAAATCACTGACTTAATTATAACAGAAATAAAAATAAAAATTTAATGAAAGATTTAAACCAATATAAAAGCGACAACTGCTGAAGACAATAAACATGAACAATTTGTTTTTCCAGTCAGGGGGGAGGGCAAGGAATTAATGGCAGAGTTAAAAGCCCTCTCACCTCCCGTGGCACCGGGATTCATAATATATCAAATTCATAATATATTATCATGTAAACTTAGGTTTAAAAGTGATTTGCAAACGCATTAGCCCATTCGGCCATCCCGTCCACAATTTGTAGTGTATATATATAATCTCAATGACTATATTCATTTGAAACTAGTGTTCAGCAGAACAAAAATAATACTTTCTAAAACAATTTATACCACTCTCCCATACTCAAACATTATTATTACTAAAAGATGACTTTATTATTATTAAGTTAATGCTACAATTGATTATAACAAACTGACCTCCGATCCACTTCCACAACTGATTTTGTAAGTTGCAGTTTCTCCGGGACCAAGGGATAATTGACTTTTACTGAGTGATAAACCGGAAACTCTATCCTCAATTGAGGATGGTTTTTCATCAAATTCTTCTTCAGGAACAATTGTGCCATGATGGTAATACCTTAGCATAGCTCTATAAAAAAATAAAAAAAAAGAGAAATAAATTAATGATTAATACATAAGAATTCATTACTTAGTGAAAAAATGTGTTGTGACATATTTGTTCCTATGAAAGAAACCAGATGTAGAGGCATGTTTAATGCAATAACACTGTACAAATTAAATATGAAACTTGCAATAACATTTTCATAAATTTAAAATTCTTTTCAGTCAATATAGAAACTTAGATCACCAAATTTAATATGTTCAGTCTCAAATTTATAATTGACACTAAATATAATCAATATTTTTTTTTTTCATAACATCATCAATAATACAGCAAATATTTTTAGACATATCATACCTAGCCCCATATATGCTGGGATGGAGATGTGCAGATGGACAGCCGTAAACCCTGTTGAGATTGACACCACGAGTGTCTGTCCTATAATTTCCACAGTAGACTCCATCAGGATTCAACATCGGGATCAGTTTGAATACAAAATGCCTTCTCAAAGCAAATGCTATTGAATCTTCCCGTGACATAAGAAAATTCATCATACCGGCCATAACAAAACTTGATGGTGTTTCCCCTGGATGTACCCGAGCACTGAGGAAAACAACCTTAACAAAGTGCAACATTCATCTTATTTGTTAAATTATAACACATTAAATCAGATGAGATAAATAAAAAAACAAAATAATTATTTGGCATGCAAAAATAAATGACCATAAATATAAAAAATGTGGATGAGTAAACAAATAATTTTTAGAAGATTTTTTACAATTGCTATGTGAAACGTTGATAGTGGTGCCGATTCCATTCCAGCCAGCACAGGTTGAAATTTATTTCATGGCAAACCCACAGAATGATTCTCAACCTCCCCACTCTGCTTAGAATTATCATAGTTTATGAACATTTTTACAGCTTTAATAAGATTATTAATATCCTCTTCAACTCCCAATACTCGCTCTAAAAAGGATATCCAAACCACCAATGGACTCTTTTCAGAAACTTACCGAAGAGATTAGTCGCCTTCGTCAATTTTTGGACACTCCGCCAATTTTGGAATTCTATGTACAGTTTGATTGGCGTGAACTCGGCACGGTAGCCATATTTGTGTGACAATTGTGAAGTAGTACTGAAATTTGCATTATAAAAATATCTTGATAATAATAGCTAAAACAAAATTAATTTGACTTTAATAAAAAACAGAGAGGGGATTTAACGAACCATTTCCCTATTGATAAAAACTGAAAATATTTCTTTTCTTTAATAATAACTTAAGAATAATCTTCCACTATTTAAACTTAGAACTGAACAAAAACAATACCTTCTTGTAAGGTAAAAACCGGAAACAGCGGGGAATATTTTGATCAGGAAACAAGTTAGGCAACCGAGGTTCCCGTATTTTTGTTATACCATGATGTGAACTTATTGTAATGAGTTCTACTCTGCGAGATTCCAATGAATAAGTTAATAATTCTCTATGGAAATAAATATCATCCTGTTTTGGTTCTATAAATTAAAATAAATAAAGTTAATCATAAGTTATATAATTAGATATTTTTAATAATACTAATTACATAGTAAATAATACCTGAATTATTGTCCCCATGTCCAAGTTTAGTCTTACTATGATTTTCTAATGCTGCAAGGTGGTTGAGGAGATCCGTGTAAGTATAAGGATATGTAAAAGCAAAATAAACTGTTTGCAGTCTTGTGTCACCAAATCTATAAACGAAGCTCACAGTGAACTGCTTGTCTTCCATCTAAGACAAATAATATCTCGTTGAAAAAAAAATAACCGGTTAATTGCATACAAACAGATTAATGACAGATGACAGATGACAGATTAATATATAATCCGCATTTTTTAAAAACCTTATCTCACAGCTTGAGTGAATAAGATATAATCCACATCCATACGCCTGAGAACATCACTTTTTTTATAATCTTAAATGATATAATTTTGGACCTTGACCAATTTTGGAATTCTATCTACAGTTTGATTGGTGTGAACTTGGCACAGTACTCCACATGTTGGAGTGACACTTGTGAAGTAGTACTGAATTATGCATTCTAAAAATATCTTAATAATTATATCTAAAACAAATTTAATTCGACTTCAATTGTATTTTGATTAAATGAGATAATATGATTATAAGAATTGACTTAGTAAAAGGTATATAATAATTACAATTACAATTATATTATAATATAATAGTTACTAAATAAACTACTTTCCTTTCAGAATAAAGCAAGAATGACAGTTTTAGGTAACTAGTGCTAATGAAATAAATAGATAAGCTAAATGAATAAATAGATTTTGAAAGCTGTGAAATAAAAATCTTGTGCATACATTAAATGTTGGTTTATCCTTAATCCTTTCCCAGTGATTCTTTCCTGGTACAATTTTGTAAACTGGAGTCATTCCTTGAGCATACATCTTGCATTGCTTGTTCAGGTTGACTATGTTTATCTTCACATTCGAGAAGGGTAGTCCCTCTTTTAACAAAAACAAACTTACTGAGGCCATTCATAAAGCAGGTAACTAAATAAACCGGGAAATGTTAATTCACCTCTCATCCCAAAATAAAACCATGTCCTGTTTCCATTTTCGAATTCAGTTCCGGCACAATCTGGTTTCGTCCATACATTAAATTCAAAATCAGGCTGATCATTAACCGAATCAGATGAACAAGTATCTAGAACAGAAAATTGTGAATAAGGTAATTGGGCATGAAACTTAATTGACTTTAATTACATGTATTAAATCAATATATCTTACTGTTTGGTGTTACTGAAGGTTGGACAGCTTCAACTGACCCCAAATTACCAGAATCAAAACTTGATAAAAAAACCCACCCATTGCACACTATTTCTACCATTCTCTGAAAAAAAAGAAGTGATTCTTTTAAAACAAGTTTTAAACTTAAGAACAGTCATGAAACTACAAAACTTTAAAAACATACATGTCGAGATTTTTTATACTTTTTAATAGAATAACTATTCAAACCTCCCTTAAATGAATCTTTTTTTCTGCAATACATTTTAAATTGGCAAGTAAGTATATGATATAAGTACTGACTATCCAAGAAGTGAAATAAAACAACCTTACGTAGTTATAGAAACGAGACTCTGAAGTTTGAGGGACAGAAATTGCAGTTCCACATTGGATTCCCCAATTCTATGATATAATCTGCAATTTGATTTACTACTTTCTGTTTCCGTGACGTTCACGATCCTAACATCTTTTTTATTTTGATAGAGAGAAGTTAAGGTTATTGCAAACAGAATGCGCTACCTACTTGAGGTGGATCTAGTACAACTTGCTCATATTCCTCAAGAACTCACGAATAATGTTAAGATTTCATACAAATAGATAAAAACAAGATATTTAATTGATTAAATAATTTACTACTGTTAATTTACTTACCAGTTTCTCCTCAAACGCTTCGGAAACCATTATGAATGCAGTTATTTAAATTTATAGTTTATCCAATGTTTATTTAAACAAAGATGTATCCATTAAACTAGGAGACGAACAGAAAACTGTGTCATCAATAATAAGCTGACCATACAATTGAAAACATCTGGCTGGGCGCCGCCAAGTATGGACTTCGAGATCTTGGCATTCGGTCTTGGCTTGGGTTCTTGAAACAGAATCAATTTTTTAGAAACACTCTGAGATGCACACCTCATGAGGATATCATTCATTCTCACAGCTCTAGAAGAAATATTTCATCTCTATTCAGAGATAGAATATATGGGTTCCAACGTTTTTTTTGTTCTTTTTAAATAGTAATTCCAAAGACGGATGTAAATAATAAAGGTAGATAAAATTTTGTTACTGGCGTTTAACAGATAATTTGTTGATGAACTTTTATCACATTATAAATAATAAAAAAAGTAAATCCTTTTGAAGTTTACATTTGTTAAATGTTTTCCATATGTGACGTTATAAACATATCAAAGGCCCAACTTAGTTTTCTTTAAGACAATAATCGATTAATTAAATTTAGAGCCATGGTTAGAAAATTAATTATATCATAGGTCCTAATGTGAGAAACCGCGTAACCGTTTAATTCCGAGGTCTTTAAAATATTATCAATCTTTATAATATAATACTAATAATAAATATTATTAATATCAATATATTTTAAATTAAAAAAACGTAAATGTTCGTTTGTTCAAAACCCCTAATCTCAGAGAATGCTTCACCGATTGCTTTGAAATATTTACATAATGTTTCTATCGCATTCAGGAGTGTTTTTTAATATACATTTAATCACCCTCCCGTATTTTTTTTCGGAAAGGCCGCCGAAAAACCTGTGTCGCTATAGACTGTAACGCCTAAACGGCAGTAACGATTTTAATTAAACTTGGCTGAAGTCTTCTCCTTGAAGCCGTTTTAATTTATGTATATAACACCCTTCCCCGAAAAAAGTAAGAAAAAAAAGTTACTATGGGTTCAAAACTATATTTGCGGATAACTCAAAAAGTACACAATTTTTGTTCGATTATACCTATCATTGTTTGAAAGTTTTCTTAATACCCTGCAAATTAAAAAAAAAATCACTAAAATCGAACGATTCGGTGCAGTGATATAATGCTTTAAACATTACTAATTTTTCTTGGAAGATTTAGAGACGGATTGTTTCTTACATAGCCAATTCTAAGTTGCGAATTCTAGAGTTGGAAAACCACACTATCTCTATATCTATACAAAGAATGGAATAACAAAGAATATCGCATATCCACGAGTATTGTTACATAAAATATATTAAAAACATCTGATTTCTTTTTTTAATTAGCCAGAGTGCGCCACAGCAACGCGTGGTCGAGTACAGCTAGTTTTAAATATTAATGCATTACACTAACCTTGGTCAAATCCCAACTTTTCAGAAGACACAAAACAACATTTAAAATTTTAATTTCATGTTTCTTATTTTTATATCGCTATTATTTAGGTAATGAAAGAATAAAAATCGGGTTAAATTTTCGATGTACATTTTTCAACAGATCTTTGCATTTTAGAGGTCTCTGAATCCAAAAAAATAAAGCGCTCCACCCATCATTAGCTGATTCAAGATTTAATTTTGGGGGGCTTCAGTCCGAAAGGTTTTTTTTTTTTTAATAAATAATAATAATAACGCTAATTACTTTGAAAGAAATGGTGTTTAAGTGATTCTTGAAGTACTATTATATATAATTACACGAACAATAATACTTTACTATTTTGGAGGAAGGGAGCTTCAGCTTCTAAGCCTCCCTTTCTCCCTCCCTCTCCTAGACCCGCCTGTGTCATCCATCAGTCTGAGTTAGAATCTTGAGATCAATTTTTGGTTCAGGATTTTATACAATAAGGAAAGGCAATTAAGTTTGATACAAAACAAATATAAATATAAATAAAAATTGTATAAATCGGACCAATAGAAGAACCATGGTCTTTCTCGAAAGAAGACATATTCACAACGGAAGCACCATTTGAAGAATAAATTGTTTTTTCATCTTAATGACCCGTAGCGCTTAATGAAGGTTTCAACACGACCAAAATTTCAATTCGAAAGAAGTTCTATTTCCAAAATAACTGAAGAACTATCTACTATAAAAATTCCGGTGATACCGAAACCTTTTAAAAATAAAAGTTTTTTTTTCTGTTTCAAATCCTGACTCTTACAAAATGTATTATTTTTTGTTATATATTTTCATCTTAGTATATAAAGCTTTGTTAGTAATGACCATTGTTTTCAATTGGAAACAACCCGAAAATCTCACAATTTTTTTTACTAATTGTATATTTCATTTGAAAAATTGTAAAGCTAAAAAATAATTACGATTTCATTCGGATAAGATTCCGCCTATAAATAGTTAGCGTGCTCTTTGAATTTAAATAAAAGATTAGTATTTTTGATGTAGTGCATAAATATTTTACTTCCTATAAGAATGATTTGAAAACACGGACAGCGAAAAGCTGCTATTAAAAAGTCTTCCTATCACTCATTTGCTGAGCAGATGGCGCATGCGAAGGCATCGCTCATAAACAGACACAAGAATAGCGATTGGCGACGAAGGCGGGGAGGAAAGTTCAGAGAGAAGACAAGAACAAATAAATAAAATAACGCGCACTCCGAAAATAAGCTTACGTTGGAATGTACCGGTGTGGCAGGTTCCTTGTGTAATCGCGGCAAGCTAAGTTCAATGTCGGTCATTGTCCTAGCTATATGTTATTGATGGACCAGGCCATATCCCCGTCCAAGGCTGTTTTATTCTAATTTGTTAAACATGTGTATAAACAACTGTTGATTTTTTTTTTTTGTTGAGCGGTACCATTGTGTATTTTAAGGAACTTTACTGTCATGAAAAGGCTTGTTGTACTGACATGGTCATCGGTGCTAGGTGAATTAACAATATTGGGGCATACTGATGGAAACATGTTGTTACAGAAAAATACAAAAATAAAAAAAAATCTGAACATTTTGATTTTAACTAAATTGTAAGTATTCTGATGTAAGCCGCCTATAACATTACGCCTATCCACGACTTCGATTAATTCTTACAATGCTAGAAACGATTTTAACCCACTAAGGATATCTCTTCTTTATCATCACCCTCCTCCGTGCCGCTCGGCGTGGGGATGTCCCAATCTAAGCATGCCAAGAATCCTAATCCCGATCCCACATCCAAGCTTCATTGCCCTCTTATTTTGGCCAATCCTGGATATTTGGTCCGTCCATAGCAATCTGGGTCTTTCTCGAGGATGACATCCGGTGGGCTTGTCTTCAAAAAACTTCTTTGGATTCCGGTACTCATCCATTCGGTACAAATGACAAAACCGTCTTTATCCCAAATAAAATAAGTTTGAGATGGTATATGATGAAACTCAAATTTTTGGGGACCAAAAAAAAAAAAAGAATAATTATTTTTTTTTTAAATATTAAATCTGAAAGATCCACCGCTCGTTATATTTCACTCTTACTCTAATTGAAGGACATTGAATTTTGATTCAACTGCTCTGCTAAAATAGTAAAGTTGTGGTCCGTGGTACAGACCCCTTTTTATCGAATTATTAACATCAGCCTGAAACTTCGTAAATAGCTTCATCTCATTGTAACCGACAACTATTTTATTTATGAAAACTCTTGGAATTGGGACGTTTACAATCTGCAGATCGGTAAACTTTGCTTAACTAGGTTCTAAAAACTCGTAAATACCCATATGCTTTCTGCTTGGATCATAAGATAATTTGGGCACAAGATTGAGAAAAAAGGCCTACAAAAACTAATGTTTATTTTGGTCTCCCGAGTTATTGTTTGGCCACAGAGTATGCGGCTTGGAATACATGAGCTGCGGTCAACTCGCCTGCATTCTGATTTAGCTCGGTCACTGTATGACACATTTTGTGGTAAATTAAAAGAGTGACCAACAAATATTTTCGGAAAACAGAGCTCTTCAAAATTCTTAATCATATGCCAAGGAACGGATTTTCTGTGTTCAGTTGGTTTTTTTCTAACAAGAGTACTTCCTCTCCATTCTCATCGTCACTATTATTGTCTTGGGACAGAGGATCGTCATTATTACAAAGTTTATCTGATTCATTCTGTTTCTCATTTTCATCAGTGTCGGTACCAAGACATGTGGGTCTACACGAAAATGAAAGTGCAGATTAAATTGCGCAAGATACTACGAAAGCAATAAGAATTAATTCTAAAGTCCCAAAAACAGACCTTAACCGGTCACAAAGCAAAACAATCGTTAATGAATGTCAGAATTTATATGACTGGGAGTCTCAAAGCTAAAGGAGAGATCACTATTTAATCCATCCAAAGATTTCTTTAAAACCGTTTGCCTCCATTGGAATATGTTTGGAAATGAATGAATATAATTTAAATAATTAGGTTGAGAACCAATCATGGCAATAGAAAATAAATTCTTAAACTCGATAAAAACTGAGGAGACTGCAAATTGTGAGCTATTTGTCGAAATCAAGTATCCACTACATCTAGCGATATGTTGTAAACTTTTTAGCAACGGGATGAGGAAATATATCGAGAGATCGACTCTAATTTCTAAAATAATAAAAGAGCAAGATCTTGAAGGACACAATCAGCAAAGTTCATAAGAAAAATAAAATTACGGCTTTAATATTTGACAAAACATAAATTTCTGAAAAAAGACAAAATAAAAGTAGCAGAAATTGTCGCGACTGCTATTCATGATAAACAGTTTTGCTCACCACTACTTATCATAGATGTTAGTTAGTTTTACTGGTAAGGACAAATGGCCTATCAGGCTGATTCGGTTTTAAACATTGGGAAAAAAAAGAGAGCATTTAGAAATAGTTTATAAAAGAATAATCTTTACCAACTCGTAAATAAAAAAATGACCGTCAAGATTCTAATGTTGGCGCATATTATAATCCCATTTTTACGAAAAAATAATAAAGACATTTCGTTATACTCCAAAAAAATCTAAAAGTGAATATCTTTCAACGGTTATCTGAAAGGAAGTGTTGGGTAACCTTGTGATATAAGATCTTCTTATTATGTAATTATAGTATACATCGCCAAGGGTACAAACATGTGGATAAGATGTATTTGTTTGAGTTTTTTAAATTTAGTTTTAAAAAATATATATATTTACAATAAAGAAATTATAAAAGTTCCAATTTTAGTATATGTACCGCTGAAGCAAGTACAAGCTTCGAGCGCGGATGACCTAGATGTTTGGCGCCTAGACATCGAAACAAATAAACATCCAATTCGAAATGTGAAATTAATTGTAACCATCAAATATATAAATATTTACTTTTAATATTTATTATTGAATAAACAATTCTCAGAAATGGGGCGTTATTATCATATGATGGAAGTGGGAAGCAAATGGATATTCACGAGTTTTTAGTACCTTATTAAATTAATTAATTTAATGAGAAAACGCCGCATGTCTAAAAAAAAGAAGATAAAAACGGTTTAAATTACGATAAAATGAAGCCATTTACTGAGTCTTATACGGATATTAATCATTTGATGAAGCGGGGTCTGTGCTGTGGACGATTAATTTTTGTTAATAAAGATAAAAAAGAAACTTTTTTCCCAGAAGAGTGTAATTAAAGAGTAACATTGAAAAATAAGACTAGTTTAAATTGGTTAAATATACTAAATGCTAAATATCCCTAAGTAGTTGAGCAGTCTTAATCGTTGTAAATATAAATAAAAACAATAATTAAACAAATCACATTTATCATATTTATTCATATATAATATAATTTTTTAATAATATTAATAACAAATCACTTAAAAAATCACATTAGCTGCTAAATAAATAGATAGAATTTAATTTACATGAAATTAGATTTCAAAAGAAAATCGTACATTGGCTTTAAAAATTTTATAACTCATAACATTACTAATAGCTCGAATTTAACAAAAAATATTAGGTAAACGTTTAAAAAATAATAATATCATTTCAGTAGCATTTTATATTTTAGGTTTTTTAAGTATTTACTAAATTATCATACAGATACGGTGGAGGATATTGGGTTCCGTACGTGATCTATCGTTATACCAATACACATAATACCTAAGGTGATTTGGTCAGCATTTTCTCTCGAACTGGTGGACTGGTGTTTTCCAATGGGGAGTCCTGGACCGCAGATTCAAATCATTTTCTATAAAATATGTTGGTACAAACCATGATTAATAAGATCATTTTCCTTTTTATTTTATTTAACTTTTAATTATTGTTAAATAATATAACCAAAAATACATTATTTGCTCAGGACTTGTGTTTGGTAATGCCGATACTACCATCTACTCATTGTGCCATTGAACTCATCTAGTTAATTATTAGGTGATGTCAGTGAATTTTGTATATTCCTCGTAATGAAGGGATTTTGTTAGGATAATGATTTAGAATCAATAACCGAGTTTACACTAACAACAACAACAACAACAACAACCTTTCTTGATAAAAGCTTAATATACCTAAAAATAGAAAGGGAATATTTAATGTGAGTACAATAATGAATTATTTTTAAAAATCTATTCTGCCATAAGGAGTACAAAACTCCTTAAATATTCATGAGCAACGTTTGATAATCAGGGCCATCATGTGAGTTGTAGGCGCTCCGTGGCGAAATTTACCAGGCTCTTTCTTAAACCTTTCCGATTCGTCCTATTTTCTTGTGTTTGCGAGTTATACTTATAATACCTTATATACATTTACATCTACATTAGTTGTTAGTTTCTCTAGCTTGCTTTTACATTTTTTTTAACTAGAACTGAAAAAAAGGTTAGAAACAATAATTTCTATCTGACAACTTGTGTCTTAAAGTCTAAACAAGGATAAAAAGGAATAGTTCAGAAAGCATAATTTGGACAGAAAAAGCTGTGAAGAAGAATATTATATATTCTTTATATTTTTGTCATTGATTCGTCGTGGTCTCCTGTCGTCATGCTTTTAATGAAAGAGTTTCGTTTATTTCAGAAACTATTCATGTAGTTTGCAGATACTGCAATGTTTTGAATATATCTAAATTTCAGTAGCCGGTATATTTTGGATATTATTCTTTAGCTAATTTGTCCGTTTAATGATTTTTCAGTCCTTTAGAGATAATGGTTTGTAGACTAGTTGCTACCGACTATTTCATTTACTGAAAGACTTGAAGCTAGTAACCATATTAAATTAAAGACAAATGTGATCTGAACATATAACTACAGTCAGTCGGTTGTAGCCGTTGATTTCTATACGAGAATTTTAATTAAATAGGCAAAATTTTACAATTCATTTAACAGAACAACATCGGTTGAAATTTCGAACATGATGCAAAGAGTATGTTCCTATAAGAGGATTCTTCTTGACAGACGCAGTACTCTGTTGCGTCTTGAAAACTGATGACGTCAAAACCATCAAATCAATCTAGACGAATGGTAGTTCGATGTGGGAAAATTCAAAAAAGCGGAATGCTTAATCTAAATTTGAACTTCCCGAACGAAATTTACCATTTTGTTCTGAGATATATGGAAAAAGTAGAGACAATTTTTTGGAGCACTTTTTTTAGTTTTTTGGATACTATGCAGTTCGTCGACATTATTATTCTGTACAAAGTTAAAGAAGATAACACCTACTACCGATTTAGTAAATAGATTTTGAAGTAGCACCAACGGGAGAGGGTTATATCACCAACGGGTAGAACATGTTGATTGCTTATATCACAAGAAATGTCTGTTTTCGTCAGTTTTTTCCCTAAAATTCATAATCTATGGATGTCTCAAAGAAATTAATTACAATCAGTTTGAAAGAACACTGAATTTCTTATGTAGTCAAGTTAATATGTAAGAAGGTTAAGCGGCTGTTTTAGCACACGGAATCGAAGGCTTATTTCACCTCTGGTGTCTGCCGCACTCAACTTAATATCTTTTTAAAGCTTATGTAGAGTCGTTATATAAAAGTAGGCATATAAAAATGAATAGGACTGCTCGAACTTTAAAGCGCATTTCGGTCCTTAATTTAATTCGAATTTAAAATGGTTACTAGCTTTATGTCTTTCAGCTAAATTAAGTGGTAGGTAGCTCCTAGTCTATTTCGGGAATCTTTGTTATAACTTCATCCAATGTTATTTTTAGAGAAAAATAAATAAATATTAAAAAAATCTAATACTGTTAAGGTTCTTAAACAACATTCAATAATCCACATAAAACACTCTACATCAAGATAGACTGTTCGGTGTAACTTTAGAATTAGATCGTATTTTATTACACATCCTTTTGATAAAAATAGAATTCACAGTCACGATGGAAGTAAAAAAATTTCAACGGATATTACACTTTTCAAGTTTTACTAAGTTTTCTCAAGCTACACTGAACAGACTATAGCTCATCAGACAATCCTGAAAAGGTGAACAAGTAGGACAGGTATTATGACAGCACTGGACGCTTGATGCGTTGGAAGTGCAAAGCTGTGGTTGCGGATCCAATCAGCGAAGTAGGAGACATCAGTGTAAACACCAGGATGGAGTGGCAGGGCGCAGCCGTCACCCCAAGACACCACGCCGTATTGGGTATCGTTGCAGACCAAAGGTCCTCCTGAGTCACCCTGGATCAAGAAGGAAAACTATTACCAACTTAAATTAAAATAATTGTAGTAATTTATTATTCCTGGATCAAAAACTTCCCATCACGAACCATCCGCGATTGGAAGTAGGAACTTGTCTATAAACTCACATTTAAAATAATTTCTTGTTTTAAATCATTTTTTCAAAAGAAGGTTAGCTAAACATTCAAATCTGATTTTTCAAGTGAATACTTCTTTAGGCGCGTTTTGTACTTGTTTTTTTTTGGAGAGTGAATTTGATTGAGCTTTCAGATCTCCGGTTTGTAAAGCTCGGTTAAAGTGTTTTTGCTATGGATTAAAATATCTCAACAACTAAAAATCATACCTGCATATAGTTAGCGAGGGCAATGTACATCATTTGATCCTCTTTGTAATGAGCTAATGTATAAAGAAACCAAATTATAACGAGTTTTATGGAAGGTATGGATCAAAATATCTCAGAAACTAAAAATCGAACCTGCATACTGTAAGCAAGGGTAATGTTCAGCATTTTATCCTCTTTATAATTTACTTCTATCGTGAGGTCTAAAGCACACACCTTAGTTCTTTTTTTTTAAATATCTTTTCCGTAGCTTACCTGGCAGGAGTCCTTGCCTCCATTAATGTATCCGGCACAGAATACTCCCAAGGATCTGTTTGTGACCCGAGAGCACTGATAGTAGTCGGAGATGGGTATGGCGATGGCCCTCAAAGTGTTAGAGATCTCAGTCCTCGTTGACGTAGGATCCGGCTGTAACAAATCGTGCACTACAATCAGTCAACATTAACTTGATACTCTTACCCTACAGGTATTAAGTCGGAGTACATTAGACTTAAAAGAAAAATTAGGAGCTCTTTTATGCTTGGAGTATACGGTGAACGATCGTATCATTTAGGATAGGTGTCAAGGACGTCAAGTTTTATGGACTAATCCCATCGCAAAGAAAGAACAAATGGTCAGATAAAAAATGAGAGGATCTATTAGAATAAGTTATTGTAACTAAGTTAGGAGCGACCACTTCAATATGTAATATGTCAGATACCATTAGACCCAGATTGCACTATCGCTGCAAATTCTGCAACTCTGGTTGTGATGATTCTACGATGTTTGTCCGAACATGTAGCAAACAACATAACATTTTTAAACTTCTGGTCACTCGCATAATAATTTATAAACTGTCTGCAAAGGGTAGTGGTATTTAGGAATGGCATATCAGAAAGGCTTTTATTTTGGACAAACAGGTGACATAGACATAACTTCACAATACTAAGTAACTAATAACTAAGATAACAAAAAAATGCTTTTGAATTAAGAAGAAGAAAAAAACAACAGACCTTCAATTTCGCTATCTCATCTTATATTCAAAGATACATCAATTGCATACAGACACTGAGTACGTAGCTTCTCTCTAAAGAGGACCAAACACGGTCCAGTCGGAATGATAATCTAAGAGGTAACTAACATTCTGGCTGACTGACTTATGATAAGACTGATTGATTGAGGTAGTTTACTGATAGATTTTCTGATACATTCAAATCCTACCATGAATCATAAGTGAAAGAGGGAATGAGGTAAAAAGTGGAAAAGAGAATAATTACCTTGTCTTGTATCAGTTATCACAACCAATGCATATTTCTAATTGTCATTTATAATAAACAATTTCCATATTCTTAAGTATATGATCATACAATATATAGAGTTTTATGATAACAGGGAAATTGCCAATTAACTTAAAAAATGGAAGGCTGTTCACAATTTTATTATAAAAAATTTAATCGTCAACTGTTGTGTATGATATTTGTTATTCTTTTTAAATTCTTTACAACACACATATATGATTTATATGTATTATTTGAATAATATTTTCTCTTTTAATTTTTAAATATTAGAGCTTATGTTTTTTAACTTTTAACAAAACGATTTTCGGGAATAAGTGGTTATTACTCCTGATGCTCAGTGCTAGTATACTGGCGAAAAAAATTGTATTTTTTGTTTCTTTTTAATAAAAATATTATTACTAGACAATGTTTCAGTCACATTGCCTGGTATCTCAACATCCACAGAGATAAAATGACGCCAATCTGTTTAATACGTTTAAGGTTTTTCGTGATTGAAGTCATTCTTCTGTCTTAAGACTGGCATTCCTGACTGGCCATGAACTGGCCCGCTTAAAGGAAATTGTATAGTGCAACAGCTGTATTATTGGATCTCACTCAAGCTTTATACAAAGTTTGGCAAGGAGCTCTTGTTAAAATTAACATGTACTACAGTATGTGTTTACATAATTTCTTAACGTTCAATTATTTCCGTTTAATATATTTTTTATCTGACTGGCAATATTTTAGTATGAATTGTCTGATGGTTACCCGAGATTTTTGTATTGTTTAAACTTTTATTTCGGTGTTTCACAACCGGTTTTTATCTAAGTTTTTAATGCTAGGAATATATTAGATGTGGGTGTTTCAAAACCGTCTAGGGCCTCCAAAAATCATTACGCAAGAATGATTTTTTCGATTTCCTATCAAACACCTGTTATTGATAGTTAGCCTTCTCATTCTTAATCAAAATAGCCAAAGTTTAGATGGTTTGAGCTCGAAATTCTTTCTTTAAACATTTGCCCTACTTTTAAACCTTTCATAATTGAAAACATCCTTTAATTCAATTAATTAAATATAGGAAAAGGCAGAGACTTGAAGAATCATGGAAACGTTCAAGATAAAAATGAAAATTTGTATGTATAAAAAATTTAAATTATGTTTTCATTTTGATCAAATTAATAAAAGTGATTAGTATTGAAAAAACGTCTTTTTTCAACCAAAAACTAACGAGAAATCAATATTTTCCGATCAAATTCAGGTGGTACATCCAACATATTTTTTATTTTAAATGGGATTTAAGAAAAAGGTAAGATCATAAAAAGTTGTCTTTATGTTAAATGATGTTTAAAGTGATTTGTTACAAAAATAATTTTAAAAATTTACTGAATTTATTTTTTAAAATTAATCTTTTTTGATCAGTCAATTGTTTAAAAACGATTGAGACCGGTTTTGAAACCAAAAGCTATATATATATATATATATATATATATATATAATAGTGTAGTATTACTATATAATAGTATTACTACAGGATTAATATATATATAAGTAATTTGTCGTTCATTTCAAATTTCACTTAAAATTCCATAGTTTAATGTTTTTAGTAACTATCTAGCAGTATTAGGACCTTATTGCTCATATTATGTCTTTAATATATCAGTATAGTTATGTAAATCCTTTTGTTATATTTTATTTTTTTTTATTATTATTTTTTTTTTTTTTTTTATTGTAATATGCATTTTGGCCAGATGTTATTTTAATTTTTATGTACTATATTGTTATTCTCAAGGGACTATGTCCCAGAATAAAGTTGATTCTTCTATTCTATTCTATTCTATATATATAATAGTAATACTATTATATATATATATTTTTTTCTAATCTTCCATAGTTTATGGACCAGTATGGGGACCAGAAAGTAAAAATAATGTCGTTTTCTTACATTAAATCCAAAGACATAAATTTCACACGAGTTTTTATTTTTAATCATTGATGGAATCACTATCATTATCAACAACCTTTTGCCATATAGTGTGCAAATTTTCAATGCAGGATCAATAAAATCAAAATTATTTTTTGAGCAAATTATAATTTAATATAGCAAAAATAGAAATGGCATTTTGGACATCATTCAAATTTGTAAATATTTTGCTACTTAGAAAGAGTTGGAAAGAACCGAACAAATGGAAATCAAATGTTGCGACATCGGGCGAGTATGGTGGGTGGAGATAGTATTTCCTACCCCAATTCAGTAATGTTTTCCAATGTTCGTCTTACGCAGTGCGATCTTACATTTTCGTGTTGCAGAATAATTTGCTGTTGACAATCGCCGGCCAGTTATTAATTAAAGATTGATTCACACGTTCCGATTGTTCACAATCAAGGTCTGTATTCATGGTGTCAGCACTTCAAAATTAACAACTCCAGGAATGTTCTACCAAACACAAAACACTGCCCTGTAAAACATTTCCTTGCGTCTATCTTCGATGAAAACTGTTTACCTTGACTAACTTTGGTGTAAGACATTTGAATTTTCTGTTAGAATCTTTATATTAGCTACCGTTCTGTAGATCCGTATGCCCAGTATCGAATACAAAAAAATAAGTTATTGGAAGCTACACAATAATTTTTTAGGCTTTAAAAGTGCGTTATTATTTTTTATATACTTTTACGACCCACAAAACATTATATTACAACTTTTATCGGTATTAACAGCGCTGTTGTGCAGGATTGTGCTGATGTTCTGGCAAATCCCTTACAACAGTAGTCTGCGAGCATTGAAGTATCCCACCGTTCTTGATATCTTCGTTCCATCGAGGATATATCTTGGTGAATATATCTCACCATGTTCGTCACTTACAGGTCCACAATTTTCGGGAAAGAAGTCCAAATAACAGTGAAGAAGATGAATCTTGAGTGACATGTTACAATCAAGATCTCTGTACTTCTCAAGGGGTGTATGTTACCCAAGAAACGATTAACTAAAGCTGTAAATGCTTCCCACGCTGCTCTTTTTTTACTCTGAAGAATATTAAAAAAGTCATTAAGAAGTTCAAGGATTTGTGGACCAACAAATACACCCTCTTTAACCATAGCTTCACTTAACCGAATAAATTTTCCTCTCAAGTACTTGAATGCCACTCCTGATTGGTCCATTCCTTTGACAAAATTTTCCTTAATCTTATATGTAGTGGAGACGAAATGATTTTTTCAGGGCCCACAAGAGGGTTATAAAGAATATTTTTTTATCCCAGATTCAGGACTTCTCTTTGAGGCTATTCTTTCCTGATGCTATGAGATGCTCCCGACTGTCCCACTCACATAAGAAACGACAGTATTTAGTATATCCCTGTTGTATGCCTAGAAGGATTGCCACTACTTTCAGGTACCCACAGATTTGCCATTGGTACTCCTGCCTGGTATTTGATGGATTTTATGGATGTGGACAGCATCGCCAATAGGGATAGAGGAAAGTAAATTGCCATTGTGCAACAGAACTGCCTTGAGGGATAGCTTTGATGAATCTATGAACCGCCTCCATTAAGAAGGGTTTTGATTGAGATTTAATGCTGTAATCAGACTTGGGATATCATAACAGTCAACAAAGTTTTCATACTTTTTGAAAAAGAGGATCAAGTCTTTCTGACGATTTCTGTACATTGTAATCTTTATACCAGGTTGTAAGAAGTTCCATTGCTTCAATCTTGAATCCAGTCACTGAGTTCAGCTTGAGTAAGCAAGTGGGATTTTCGTTCATCTTGTTTGAAAGAAAAATCAGAACCATCTGATGGGGTTCCTCCTGGGGGAATTTTCCTCTTCCTTATCCTCGTCCTCATTCGAGTCATAGTGTTCATTAGGCCTTGGAACAGACAATTCGTCCTTGTGTGGTATTGGCCGTATAGCGGATTCATCTGGCAGCATTCATTCATCTGGGCATTTTAATTTCACCAAAACTGGATTTTCGTGACAAAATCGTTGAAAGAATGCCTGAAAAAAGAAGTATCGTAGAAGAAGAGTAACTTGAAATGTAACTACATACAACCGTCTGCAAGATGGTTCTGTGATTCACAGCTCGTCGTTTCCATGCAAATCATAAATCAATCCTACCAATCCAGGAGCAGGAAATTTCCCCATATTAGCAAAAAGTAAGTATATCTTTGAAACTCGAGTTAACTGATGATTTTTTTGTGGAAATTCGAATTGCTCACATCAAAAAACATAGATTAAGGCATTTTAAAGTGAGATATGCCTTGAGATATGTTGCTTTCTCAATCTGCTGCAAATGTTCTTGGATGGTCGGACAGGGTTGGTTATGACTGTTTGAAATGCCTCAATTATTTGACAAGAATTTTCTTCGAATTCCTTCCTTAACACGTTATTGTCTAACGTTGTTGGTCTTCCAAATATCAATATCAATGTAGAGCAGTATAATGGGGATCCTGTGGGGGTGTAAACCTGGCTTAGCACTACTTTGTGGCGATCATTTTGAGGAGAGCCACTGCCTTTTGCGTTTTGGATTATCATACTGAACCCATTTTTCAAAAAACGCTTCTGTCGTTTTAGCAATAACTTACATGTGTTGCTTTCTCAATCTGCTGCAAATGTTCTTGGATGGTCGGACAGGGTTGGTTATGACTGTTTGAAATGCCTCAATTATTTGACAAGAATTTTCTTCGAATTGCTTCCTTAACACGTTATTGTCTAACGTTGTTGGTCTTCCTAATGCATTAGAAATATCAAAATTACCGGATTTGAACTTGAAAAAACATCTGTGGCATTTACGAACGTCTAATGCATTTGAATAAACATCGCAAATATTGTTTGTAGCAACTGTTCCATTGCGTTACTACTCTTGCGAAACTCAAAAAGTATGGAATGCCGGATATGCACCTCTTCTGGTATTTGACTAGCCATTTTAGTAAAAACAGCTAAAATACACATATACATATATATATATATATATATATATATATATATATATATATATATATATATATATGTACATATATATATGTAATATATAATATAATTATTTGTAACTACAGATGCCACTCTAAGCTTAGAATGTCTTCCAACCGCTGTACCTATTTCGCTGAAACTGCTCACTGGAGTTGTTACAACCTGCCTATAACTTTCGAATATTTCGCTGTATCTTCGAAGATAAAAAGATGGACATAATATAATAATAAAAATGAACATCCTATAATAATAAACATCTCTGACTACCGCTTTTTTATTTGAGTTGGAAAAAGGAGAGAAAATTTTGTTCATAAAGAGAAGGAATATCAGTATTTCGATGTGATGCTCATCATCTAAGTCCCTCTGATATTAGATATTATTAGTTTGAAAAGTAATAGTAATTAATACATAATTGATTAGTAATAAATATCATTTATTTGTAATTAAATCCCAGCAGGCGATGTTTTATAGTTTTATCAATAGTAATCAGTAAATCACCACTTTAATTAAAAAATACAAATCGATTTTTCAATGGGTGGATTTAAGTATTTACCTAACGATAAAATTTGTTGGATTTTTTAATTCATTTAATATCGTTTTGATTTAGGTATATTTGTATTTCGCTCTAAAATATTGCTGGTGGAATAAATAAATAAATAATCTTGTTACTTCAACCTTAAAAAAATAATTTACTATTGCATTGTTTCAGTTTTAAACGATATTTGTTATAATTTTGCCAGACTTGAAAGAAACATAGGAAATAAAACGTATCGACGTGACTGTTATCATCAAAACAATGCTTTGATATGATAACATAACCTACAACCGCCGAACCGCCAACAGCTCCACTGCTTCAAGAGGAGTCAAATACGAGCAGCTTAGATATGACGTCATACCTAGACTGCCGAGCAGCGCTAGCAAAATAGGTTCCTTTTTATTCCACTAAAGCAGTGGTCAACCGCGAGCAGTCGCTGTCGTGGACCGCGCCAGCGAAATAGTACCTTTATATTTACTGGTTACTTACAGTATATACATCACCAACAATATATATATGCTTTAGTATATGTTAATATATATATGTTATATATTAACAACATATATATATATATATATATATGTTAAATATATATGCTGAAGTAGCCTGTAATTCAATAATATAAATGATGAAGGATTAAATCAAAAATAATATTTATAACCTATCCCGATAGCCTCAGTGTTCTAAACCATAGACCTCTGGTATTATCTCATTATTCTCATTATGAGCTACCATAAAAATATGTTATTCAAAGGGTCCAAAGAATATAGAAAAATTATGTATTGAAATGTGAACTTACTTGTTTGATGGCGCCCCACCCGCTTACGGTACACATTCTTCCTTCTTCTGGTCGTTTAGAACTTAATCCAATTATTTTCACTGTTCTAGTATTTGCAGGTACTTTTGCCTTCAGCTAAAAAAAAAAAAAATGTAAGATTAATTGTACCGGGAACAGACACTTTGAGAAACATTTTCAACATTAGTGTACACCATAGACTATGATTTGATAATAAGTGGAATGGATTTAACTGACTGCAACTTTAGTTATTTTATCGAATTATTCTCCATAGTCAATTTATTAATCATTCATAAAAAAGTAAGAAATTCGGACAGCTTATATTGGATCAGTAATAGAAATTTGGAATTTTTATAAATCTAGTATCAGACACTTATTGTTCCAGTTATATATATATATATATATATATATATATATATATATATATCACAATATACTATACATAAAACATAATAAATAAAATATAGGGTGAGTCGGAATGAACAGGCCAGGTTGACTCTTTCGTTTTAGAGAATAGTGTCACTACCACTTAGATTTTTTTATGATTCGAATTACAAGAAACCTGAGAGGATGTTCTCTAAACATAAGCTCGTTTCGCTTGTCAGGTGAGGCAACATTTGGATGAAAGGTTTCCAGACCCTTGGATAGGTCGCGTCTATGTTTTGGCCTCGCGTCCATTAGTTGGCCTCCAAGATCTCCTGGACCTGACAGTACTAGGATATTGTTTAAGGGGTTGATTCAAATATGAAGTACCTCTACAAAATAAAAGTAGATATTCAGGATGCACTATTTCAACGTAGTAAAAATGTTTCGGTAGCCATTAAAGAAAGAAAAAATAGAATCATAAGGTCACCAGTCATCTTATAAAGACGAAGCCGAAAATGTTTAGAAATTAATGGCGATATAACCGAAATGCTAATACATGTATGAAATTTTAGGATATAATTTGTTAAAATTCCAAACCACACGGCCTCATATCTCCAAAATGTAGGAAAATAAAATAAACCTGTCAAACCATTTTTAGGCGACATGAGGACAGAAAAGAACAGCTAATGGAACACTCCATGACATACTCACTTCTTGTTTTTTTCTGTCCATATAACGCCTGAATTGGCGAAATGTTAACAGGTTCGTTTTCTTTGCCTGTATTTTGGAGACATAAGGCTGTATGGTTTGGAATTTATCCAATTCTGTCTCTTGATTAGTTTGTAACTAGTTTATATTAATGTATGACATATTGAATATTTGTTATTTAAATTTATAAAAAAATAAAAATCGGATAATTCCTGCTGAATTTATTATATAATAACTTCTACATTGCTTCAGAAATTTATTTTTCCGATGATATTTTTAATTATCAAACTACAAAATGTTTAAGCAACCAATATTATGTAGAAAAAAGATGTAACATCCCAGCCATGTATGTAATTTATCACTTATAAATCTTAAATATGTCATTTCAGGTCTTTTTGTGACACTTAGTTTTTGGACTCACTAGTATTATTGTTGAAAACTATTATTCGAACTTTTTTACGATCACAATACTTTGCCTTTCTATTGGTACAATTTATATATATGAAAGTGAAAATAAAAAAGATATAATGTTATTTTAAGAAGTAAATAAGTTAATGAAACAAAAGTGATGAAGGAAAGTTCAACAAGACGTCTAAAGTTATTCGAGCAGAATAGTTGTATTATTTCCAAAGAAGTAATGCTTACCCTAACGATAGCAATATCATTGGTGACGTACTTGGCATCTGGGTCGAAGCCAGGGTGGATTACCACTTTATTTACCCTGTGGAGAATATGCTGTCCCTTGATGGTAGTGTGCCCCATGGTAACGCCGATGGAATGCAGTTCGTTCTCCTGTCTAGCACATTAATCAAATTGTTAAAGCAGTTCAATGATACAAATACAACACAAAAATAAATAGAGACATGCACTAAATCTTTAGCTATTCACGTTATAAGTTACATTCACCTTTATCGTTCTTAGGCTTGGACAATAAGTTTTTGAAAATTAGGAAAGTCAGAGTAGTTGTTATTTTATTTAAGAAGTAAAACAATTGACTTGATTTTTTGCGAAAATGAGTATTTATTATTATTTAAATATATAATGAATGCAATCGCCCGGGACAATATACATGTGTATTCGTGTTGTCCAAATGCGAGACCGAGACGAATCTTGGTCTTACAAACCCAGTCTTGGTTATGGTCTTAGTCTTGCGCAAGAGTCTCGCAACAGTCTTGCAGTTACTTATTAGCTTATTATTACAGAGATATTACTGTAATTGTTTAGATAGGAGAAATCTAACTAAGCCCGAATAAAAAATTAGAGGAGTTAAATTCAAAAGTATATTGGTTATACCAATCATTAACATATAGGAACTAAGATTGTCAAGTATCAGTAAATATTGCACCTTAATTTTTATTTTAAAAAATCGATTTTTTTTTACTAATCCTGGTCTTGGTCTTGCAACAATAAGGCGGCCTTGGTCTTGGTCTTGCAAAGTACAAGACCAAGACCGATTTTCGGCAACACTAATGTCTATACATTGGCTTATATAATATACATACATACATATATATATATATATATATATATATATATATATATTGTCATATATACAGATTATGAGCTTTGTAATAACGAAAATTGCGAAAAATAAGTTTCGGAGTTTAAAAGTTAACTTATAATTACTCTAGCTTTTGAATGGTTGAAGATTATATAGTAAAGTAATAAATATTGTTAAAGAGAATTTAATATTAAACGACTTTCATCTGTATGGCTTTTTCGTAAAATGAAAAGATAAATAGTTAGTCAAATAATGATAAAAATGCAAGGCAAAAACATTTTTTTCGAAGTTAGTAAATTACGAGAACGGATATCTCGGAAACCATAATACATAGCGAAAGACATAATATAACCATTTTGTTGCAAATTTTGTCAGCTTTAATTTCAAATGATTATAGCTAGAACGCATAATTTCACTGATAAAAGCGTAAACTTTTAGAATCGTAAATTCAAATTTTTGACTTAAAATTCAGAGGTATATGGTAACTGACTATTATTTTATGTCTTAAGACAGTAAATAATATAAATTGAAAGGGTTGGTAGCTTTCTATATCTGTAGGCCCTCTCTATAAATACTTTTTCTACTTATAGAGGGTTTCTATCTATCTTTATCTGGCGCCATTTTGTATTCCAGCGGGCAGGTATGCTGGCAGATGTGCACTTTTCTCATCAGGCCGGCGGATATGGTCAAACCTTAGTATGAAATATGACACCTTTGTTGCCACGGGCTACCGGACTAATACTATCCTGTCAAAACCTAACTAAAACGTTCCGCTGTGTTGGAGTGTGTTTAATAAAGAACATGGAGGGAAGGAAAGATGCAGAAAAAAAATTGGAGAGGGAACGAAATTAGCACTGACAACAGAATTTATGGTGCGTTAATCGTGAATGAAATTCTATTTTTATATTAAATAAAATATAGTTGTATCTTGATCGTTTCGATCTTAATTCAGTCAATGAAATGAGCTAATATTATGAGACGTCTATACTTAACACCTAAGGAAAAATAATATAAATTTATTTTTAATAGGATGTAAACTTTATTGGACCCTAGTAAGATTATTGGACTGTTAAGTGATGATAACAATTACACCTACTTTTACACCGGAACGATATTCCCTCAACCTGGTTCCAATATAAATGATTAAAATACGGATTAAAAAAATGTTAAAATAAATTGTTTGAAAAATAAAAATTTATTAGTGGTGTAAATATTTTTCCGTCGTTTTTTATCTACATAAATTTGTTTAAACACGTGCATCTGGCAACACTGAAAATAATTTTATTCAAGAGCTAATCCTCTGTACTCGGGTTATCAGTCTGTTTTAAATCCTCATTGTGTATAGAACGTTGTTCATATCTCTTCAAACGTGGAAAATTTCGACTCCTCAAAACCGCTTTTGAGAGGAAATTTATTACACTGTTTTTCCAAATGAATACTTCATCTGCAGGGCATAGAATTCTTGTGGAAACTTCCGGCAATCATGCTCTATCAGAAAGAACATGCAGAGAACGTTTTCAACGCTTTAAAATCAATGATTTTAATCTCGAAGATGACGACCGTTCAGTTTCCCCTCCCCCTCCAAAAAAGCAAGCTGCGAAACCATCACAGAATATCGTTATTGACTATAATTGATGCGTTTGAGCCCAGCCCTGAAGCAAAAGCGACTACAATACGAGCAGAGACACGATAAGGTAATTTTATTGTATGATTAAGCCCGATCTCAGGTTTTATTAAAAAAACAAAAAAAACATAGAACTTTTTAAAAGGATAAATATTAGGTTAATGGTAGGCCAGGTTTAGTTAAAATAACAGTTTAACAGGTTAAAGATTCTCAAGGCAGGCAGCATTGTATTCTGCGAATTTATAGTTGAAAACTTAATTTATGTGGCACCTTTAATATTAAGTTATTATGTCAGAAATGTTTATAGAACTAATTTAATTAATTTTTAAATAAATAACAGATTACTTCATAACACAGTGTCCTGCTGTCAGAACATGATGATGGTCTATCAAGCTTCCACCACATACGTGCTGTCCGTATATCCTGATAGATACCTGTTCACAAATAAAAATAAACAAATAAAAAAATTATTATATAATATAAATTTTATATACCGTTTTATATATTATATAATATATATAATAAATAAAAAAAAGACATGGATTCTTAGAATTCATGTCCTTTTTTATTATACTTAAACAATATTAATAAGATGTTTCACTATCAATTGTTAACGGTACTACACCATAGCAGATTTAAGATTTAATTTTGAAGATAGCTAAGCTTTATTTATTTAATAATGGTAATTATAGGAATAATAATGCTTTGAGGGATAGAATTTTCATTTTTTTTTTTTTTGTCACCTTTGGTAGTTTACAGAAGATGGCATATTCTAATTGTTTTTGTATTTGGCTTAGATTACTCATTGAAAAAAATATGAATCAATGAAGAGAAAATAAAATAAATTTATATTTTTTGGGTGGAATGGGGCTTCAGCCCGATAGCCTCTCCTCCTCCCCTCTCCCTACGAATCGGCTAATATCACAAAACAGTGACTGTACTAATTTTTTTAACTAAATTCTGTCCCACCTACTAATTTTGGTACCCCTGCTGTTGATTGACGAGAGACTCATCAGACTGCTTCACTATTAAATTTAAAGCTATTCCTGTGTTCTTTACTTAGTTAGCTTTAAATTTGTGTAACCATGTCGCCATGACTACGGTATATGAAAAGCGGCATGAAGAGAAAATATCCAAATGTAATTCGGAGATAGCATACGTAACACAACATGTAGGTCTCCTAAGAGTCCGTTAACATAATCTAATGGGAAGTTAGATCCCTCACATTCCACGACTAGACTTTGGTTTTAAGTTAATATTTAAGGACATTAAGGTATAACCTATTGTGGATTAAACGCAGCCGCTTTGTTCTCATACCGATTAATCCTTTCCTGCTTCCCACTACTTAGGTTGAAAAAAGAATAGTTACATCTGGCAAATACCAACTAATTTAGTTGAATATGTAGTTGTGTATAACTACTAACTAATATTTTTAATTGATAGACATAAAAAGTAGTTAATTAGGCCCAATACTAGTGGCTGCTATTCTACACATGGAGAAGGGAGTGTTGCCGGAGTCCTCGTTCCTAGTAAAAATAATAGGATTTTTCTAATAAACGTTTTATAGGTTGTGAAAAAATATAAAATATCAGTTATATAGCATAGAAACTGTCCTTAATTACAGAAGGAATTCGATCTGTTTAAAAAGTACTAGATGTATATTTAGTTTCACAAAGAAAGGCTTCATGTCACAGACACCTTGGTGTGATGCACTATGTTGAGTCATAATCAATATCAGATTTCCTTTCCAGGGATATTATCTTACGAATAGACTTTGATCTAAATCGTGGCAGGGCTGCCCAGAAGGGTGTTTCTTGGCTCAGGTTGTGCCATCAAAATTTTTGAGGAGGGCATATTTTGACAGGGTTATGAATTTGTGGATTAAGGGACAAAAGGGAAACAAAGAACAGACAGCAGCAAGTGTAATTGTGTATGATCTACGATTTATCAAATTCTACCTTAGGCTTTCTCTGTTTTTTAAAAAAGGTGAGCAATAAAATATCTTGGGAGGAGGGGGACAGATAGGTTCTTGCAACATCGACCTTGGGGGGGGGGAGGGAAGGATGGACCCCCCTGAATCGTGGTATATTGGAGTAAGGCTAAAATTCAAATTCTAAAATATAAATAGTATGTATGTAATTTAAACATTACTGATACTGGTACTGGTACAGGTGGAGAGAAGTGATTGGTCCTAATGGTTCTTTTGGCCAAACCTGAGAATTTAAACATTGTAAATACATTCAGAACATTAGACTGGGGGTGCTGATGTGGGCAAGACTGATTATTCTACTATCCTATTATTATACTAGTATTAACTCATCTTGTTTGCAGAAATATAATGGAATTTTTAGTTATTCGTTGTCAGTGTTTCCAACTATCCAGTTCTTCCTTAATTGCTAGGCAATTTGCAAGCATCTCTTACCATCACCTCTAACTGATTTCTCCACTCATCATACTCTTTCTTCACTTGACCGACTCCCGTCCTCCAAGGAATTCTTCCAGCCTCATTTACCATGTGTCTATTAAGTCCTTTTATCTCTAAGAAAGTATCTACCTGTGTGAAAATTTCTGTTACCTGGTCCAATCCTCCGCCAGAAAGTTTTACTTGTTTTTCTTTAAATGGATAGGTGGTACATAAAGATTATTATTGTATTAATGGCCAGGGGGTCTATACATAGCAATAAACCATATAAGTAATAATTATTAGATTAGAACATTTACTTTACAGGCATTAAAATGGAGATTGGGATACTATTCAGATAGATATATATATGTAATATAAAAACATATATTTTCGGTGTATTTAGGAGAATATATTCAATTACAGCCCGAAAATGATTTTTATAAATCATTTTATTGGAATCAGGAGACTCTAAACCGAGAGAGAGATGATGGAAATAATATTTTCGAGGTAGTCACATCCTTCTTTCAACTGAGATAGTATAGGAAATAAAAGTAATGTATGATGGGACTGACCCCGTGAATACATAGAGAAGAAGAACATGGCATGCAGAATGATCGTGGCAGCGAGGGAGCAGGTAGGGCTTCATGTAAAATTCATTTCTTTTTGTCGCGTGACGAAAGACAGTTATGTGGATTTAGTCCTGTAACTCGGCAGCGATCAATTTAGATCCCCCTTAACTCATTTTTCATATATATTGTAAGATATAAACTTTTTTTTTCTAATATAATTAAAATAAATATTGCAATAAATTTATTATATACTAGTCGGTATATATTAATTTGAAACATCCCCCTTCCTCTTCCTAAATAAGAGTTGATCATTGGCTCACCATCAGTGTGAAAACTGAATAATATTTAGTGGCCAGCCGTTTTGAAAAACGTTGATCAGTTTTTTCTTCGTTCTTAAATATTAAGCTCCGTCTTTTTTGTTTCAGTGATGACTAGAAGAAAAAATCACCTGAACGCTCATTGAATGTCTTTTATCTTTGCTATTGGATTGTCTGGAAAATAATGCAGGATTTTGGTTTAAAAAGAAATATTTACAACTGTTTCCTTTTATCAAAATAGTCTCCAATACATTTCTGCCGACGTGTTGGCAGCTTTTTCATTCCCTCGGAATAGAATTTCCTACTTTAGAATTGATAAACTCCAAAAACGCATTATTAAATGATTCCCTCTGTTCATTATTTTTTTTTCACGTAAGTACTGGTCTAGGTGTCTAAAAAAATGATAATTCGTAGGCGAGAGATCCGGAGAGTAGGGCGGACGTGGCAGAGTTTCTTATCCAAGTTCCAACATTTGTGATGTCACACATGGGACGTGAACAGGCGTTGTCATGCAACAAAATGGGCCCCTTCCTATTGATCAAAGATGGCCAAATTCTCCCAACTGCCATTATTGCCAATTTTTGATGCATTTCATTAATTTTGTTACAATACTATTCGGCATTGATGGTTTCTCCAGGGTTTAAGAAGCTGTAATGTATCAAACCAAATGTAGCCCTCCAAACATAATCATCATCTTTTTTTTTTTTAATGAGTTGGGGGTTTCGGAAAATTTTCTGCTGCTTCTCTATTGTCGAATCAATGTCCAAAACGTCTACTACTATCGTAAAGTATCCACTTTTCATCACAAGTAACAAATCTGGAAATAAAAGACTCGTTTTTGTTTCGGCAAAGAAATGTAGTACAAACTTCATAATGCTGTTTTTTTTTTGGCGGTCGTGTAGTGTATGTCGAACTTAACTTTCAAGCTTTTTTATCTTTTCGATCGCCTTGAGGTGGTCATCGATAGTCGATTTGCTAAGGTTAAATTTCCTTGCAAGTTTTCGAACAGTTGTTCTGGGGTTTTCTTACACCAAAGCCCGCAGAACATCGTCATCAAGTGAGGAAATCCTTCCGCGACCTTTTTTGTTTTCAAGACTAAAGTCTCCCTTCTGAATTTTTTTAAATTACTGTAGAACAGTGCACTTATTAATGCTGCTCTTGCCCCAGACTCGATTGATGTTTCTGGCCGTCTGGGTCCCATTCCGGCCGAGTTTGAACTCTCAAAACAAAATTACACGAAAATCATTTATTGGCATCTTAGTAAAGACTAAATTATTTCTAAACAGCGAAATGCTACAGAGGTAAACAAACACTATTGTATGAAAGAGGATTAATAAATGTTGACACTCATTCACATGAATAATCCAGTAAACATATACAGTTTGTTATATAGAGGAGTATTGTATAGAAAACTCAAAACCCTGTATTACTTTCCGAACAAACCAATAAAACATGATTACAACCGGAGGGTCACTTCAACCGTATCGCCGAGATAAAGACAGATCACTCCTACTTTATTGCCGTCAATGATGTTTCTTCATGTAATATTTCTGTTGACTCGCGGCTAATTAATCATATTCAATCGATAGCACATCCACTGGGAAGGGAATAATGGGAAATTTTACCTCATTAAATTACTATTGAGGAAAACAAGTACTGTTTAAATATGTTTAGGTTAAATAGACTCGTGAGAAATCTATTGGTATAGATGTATAAATGTAATAAATTAATTACCTACGACAATCAATTTGATAGGGTTTATTTCTTAGACAAGATAATATTTTTGATAGTTTCCCTTTCAACCAATGGCGGATTCTAGGTGGAAGAAGGACTTTCATGCTGAAGTCCTCTCCCCAAAATGGAAATATGTATATATTTTAATATAATTATTTTAATTGTATTCGCTTCGACCTCTTTTTTAATATTATTCTAACAATATGGGATCCTCTTAAGTATTTAAAAATAATGCCTCGATACCTCAAGCCAGAGACACGCCAACAGCCTCAGCAACGTCTATCAGCACATATATTAAGCTATGCTACAGTATAGTATAGTTTTCAAGATATACGTAAAAAACGAGAAAAAAGTTCCAATCGGAGAAAACATTTTGTCAAACCTCAAATTCGATTAAGAAATTTTGTTAA